CAGCCAGCATGGGGAATTCTGGGAGTTGAAGTCCACACCTCTTCAAGTTGCCAAGGTTGAGAAACACTGATCTAGAGCCACATCTGTCATTAGAAGCCAACAGGTCCTCTCTCATATGAAGTGCCCTGGAGTTCCAAATTCAGCTCTTCTTGGATAGGGATGACCTTGCCACTGTAATCCAAGCTCTGGCAACTTCTTGTATAGATTACTGCAATGCTTTCTTCCTGGGGCGGCCCTTGAAGGCAGTTTAGACGGTTCACTTCATGCAAATAGTAGACCACGTTTTCTGAATGGAACTCAAGGGATGAACCTTCCTTATAGAATAAAGTTGCTTCAGACGCCGTGCGGAGGGAAGGCGGGTTGAAATCTCCCAGAACCACAAATCTGGGAAACTCCACCACCACTCCAACTACAGCGTCAAGCAGCTATGTCAGGAAAGCCAGAACAGGAGCAGTGATGCCATCTGTTCCTTACAACGTCGCAAATCGGGTTCGTAAGTTTGCAATGGCCCAAACGCGTCTGGGCTGGAGTGACAGGGCTGAAAAATGGATTCTGATTTCAGGGCAGCAGGTTGGAAAACAACACCAGGAGAAGGGGACCTTTGCTCTCCTTCAGCGGAAGAGCGAAAACGGCTTTACCGAGGCCAAGCCGGGGAGGTTCTGGTGCCAAGACACCGCTACTTCACCCTATCATGCGAAGTCTGGAGGGTTTCTTGCAGCCTAATTAAGCCCCGCAGAACAAATCGGTAAAGTGGTCTGCTCATTCTCTCCCCTTCTGCTCCCGATTAATTTGGAAGAGCCAGCTAAGTGGGCCGTAATGAGAAAGGAGAGGCTGAGGGAGAGGAGCCTGTCAACCGTTCACCAATCTCACGCCTCTTTTCCAGAGGGGGGGTCCAAAGCTGAAACCAAGGAGAGCCAGGAAGTGGTGGAACAGCTTGCTGGGCTTTGCCTGGGAGGCTCTCTGAGGATTCCTGCCCTGAGGGACCTTGAGATCTTCTAGGTCCCTTTCAACCCGATGATTCAGAGTCTATGAAACTGATGCCAAGAAGCCTCGTTTTAAGCAGGACGGTGCTGGCGTCTTGTCTGTTAATGGAAAAAGCCTTTGAATCAGGCATCCGGGGGACCGATGAAATGTGTGTGATGACGTTAACCGTTAAGTGAGGTCATTTGCACTGAACGACAGAATCGGTGTAATGAGATCCGTAATGATGTCCTCAGGCCAGTCGGGTCAATGATATAATGCGGCACTTCCAAACCTGGGGAAATTACCCAAAATTGGGTAAAAGTGGTTTTTCTTTGGGTAACAACGCACGAGCCCATTGCCCATCACAGGGACATTTAAATTGACTTCAAGATTGCCAAGTGTACTAAAATATATTTGAAAAAATCTCAGAGTATTCCTATGAAGATGAAAATTGATGAAATTACCAGTGGTAATTTGTGGAAATGACATCAAGATCATTCAATGATATTGCTTTTATAACACAGGTAGTCCTCGAGTTACGACCATCTGTTCAGCAACTGTTCAAAGTTATGACAGCGCTGAAGGAAGGGACTTATGACCGGTCCCCGAAGTTATGGCCGTTGCAGTACCTCTGTGGTCACGTGAACAAAATTCAGGCACTTGACAACTAGCTTGCACTTATGACTGGTTGCAGCGTCCTGCAGTCACGTGATCTCCATCTGCGACCTTCCCTACTGGCTTCCCACAAGCAAAATCAATGGGGAAGCTGGTAAGGGAGGTTGAAAGCCACTGGGGTAAGTCTCCCCCACCCAACCCAGCTTTTCTTCGCTTGCACTCACCATGCCCTCCTTCCCCCCGAGTTTTGGGTAACGAAGGAAAATGTTTGGGAAGCACTGATGTAAATGACATCACCCTTGGGGTGAACTGCAGGAAGATGTAGGCCCACCGTGTGCAACGCCTGTTGCGCGAGGATCCCAGTAAAATGAGACTTCATCGTCTCGCCCAAGTGCTCCAGCCATGTCCCACCAAGAAAAACTGGAACTGCCTTTCCTGACCTGTTTTTCAGCTGGAAAACTCTGGATGTTGTCGTGTTAGCGAAAGCTAAGTTCCAAACCCGTTTGAAATCCTCCAGCCAATCTGGGGCAAACAAATTGGATAGATAGTTTTTCCCCACAGGACCCATGCTTGGGGGTCCTCAGTCCCACCCCGTGGGCTTCCCTTAGGACTGAATGGAAACACGAGAAGCTGGGGAAGACGCAGACCCATCGTGAGTCAGGGAGGTGACCCTGAAAGAAATAGGCAAGGACCGCTGCATAAGCAAAGGGAGGAGAAACCTTCTTTAAGTCCCGGGAAGCAAGACAACATTTGGAAGTGACTTAGGTGGGCACCTCCCTGATTCACTGGGGTATAAAAGGGGGGTTGATGAGACCCCTGGAGAAAGGAGACTCCTTAGCTGGATCCATGCAAGGGCCCTGCCCCACATCACCCCTGAGAATCTCTCTGACCAGCTCTTCTCCTTCAAAAGAAACCTCTAAAACCATGTTTCTCAACCTGGGCCACTTTAAGATGAGTGGACTTCCATTCCCAGAATTCCCTAGCCAGCCCTGCTGGCTGGGGAATTCTGGGAGTGGAAGTCCACTCATCTTAAAGTGGCCCAGGTTGAGAAACATGGATCCAGGCTCAGTCCTAAATCCACCCTTTTCCTTTGGCCTACAGACTTCCAGATCAGCCTCTGGAGACATGAGAGGACGTCACAGCAGCCCTGCCCTCCATCAGTGACCACACCCCGTTTCTGAATGGATTTATTTTCCCAGGTGGCACCTCTGTGGTTTACAGAACATTTAGGTGGCAAACATCCAGCTCTTGCCATATGCACAGTCGGGGAGATCGTTGGCCTTGCTCGCTCCCACGCCACCCCTGCGCTCTGCAGATGGTCACCTTCCTGAGAGAAAGAAGCAAAAGAAGGAAATAAAAACGTTTTCAGTGAGCTGGAAATGAGACAGAGAGAGAGAGAGAGAGAGAGCATCACTGCCCAACTGTTAAGCCCTCCGTCCTTAGGAAGCGTGCCTGTTAAATTCAGATTTAAGGCGAGGAAGATCTGCTTAGCTTGTGTAACTCATTGCTACAGGATGTCATGATGCTGACTTAGCTAGTATGGAATGAGGACTAAGATGAATTCAGGGAAAGGTCTGGATCCACCAGATGTAGCAGCCTGCCTGCCTGCCTGCCTGCCTGCCTTCCTTCCTTCCTTCCTTCCTTCCTTCCTT